CGCATTTAGATTTAAAAATGTTTTTCTTGGTTATGCAAACATGGTTTCTTGGTTATGAAACATGGTAACTAGTAAGGATTTTTTTGTATAGTCAAGTTTTAGTTGACTGGTAAGACTCAAAAGCTTCCCTCAAAAGCTAAAACAGAGACATTCCTAATATTAATTTAAATAATTCCAAATTATTCATGTTTATTATTATTATTATTAAAATAAGTAAATTGTTCTGCAGTCTAGAGATTGTGCTTGCGAATGGTTGCCAGGTTGTGAAGATAAAGTGAAACACTGGAGAGAAAATGTGTCCAGTGAGGGAACCTCTGTTAGGAGGATTTAAAGGTTTTACATCTGGCAACCCCCTGTATGAAAACTCATGAAAGTCTATAATTTTTCTCATCCTGCTTGTTCAAGAAAATATATAGAGATTTTTGATATAAGTTGTTGTTGTTTTTTTTTTAAGTTGCCTACATTTAATATCGTCTGTTCTCGTCAACGATATTACATGTTGATGTAGTCAAAGTTAGTGTTTAATGATGTCATTGTCATGGAGAAAAGGTCGTCATTGTTAACAAAATTAACACTAGTTCTGAAGACCAGTTTGAAGATAAGTTATTAAAGACCAGTGACCGGTTTTAGAAACTACTTAGACAGTCAAATTTAGTCATGTCATTTTCTTCAAGACTGGTCACTTTTAAATTCAGTTACATAAAATGGAAGATTGATCTAATTTGAAATCGGAATGTAAGACTGATTCCCTCTTAGTTAACTGATAGTTAGTCAAACTAGTTCTTGAGACACTGTCATAACATTGTGGCTAAGTTTATGTAACCAGTCCCAGAAAACGCAGAATGAACGTTCTGTTAATGTTACTGAATTAATATTTGTGAGAACGTTGCCAGAACGTTCTGAGATGGTTCCCTGTTAGCTGGGTAATTGCCCAAAGAAAGCTCAAACTTTGTGACTGTATCATAGTGTGAACGATACAAATGGGATCATAAAAGTTTCATAAAAGACACTAAGAAAAGCGGGGATTAAAGTCCAAAACCTGACTTGAAATAACCTAACAAATCAATCGAGGCTATAGCAGTTTCATAAACGACGATTTAAATTCACGCAATCTCACTAATTTAATCCAGGTTGACCCCCGTGCATAACGGCCATGTCACAGGTATACTCTTCATCTGTAAATGTTAGAAAGTCATGCAAACATATCCATTTTCCTGTCAGGAGTGGGTAAGGCGAGTAAACGAGTGAACGAGCGCTGCTGTGCAATTTAGTGTTTTTAATGTTTTAATGCTTTAAAGAGCAATTTTAGATTGTAATGCTTTAATGTTCTACTACCATAAAAGGTTAGGGTTAAATAAAACCCGAGAGAAAGGCTGCATGGAACTGCTGATCAACTGAATGCGCAAGTATAGCAACTGTTAAAATGTTTTCATATATCTTTAAAAAAAAAGGTCATTACATTTTGGGCACAATACATTAAATACAGTTGGTTGTAGCCTATTTTTTTTTTATTTTATTTTTTAAGTTGTATAAAGAAATTGCTCTGATAAATATATTTTGGTAACATTTGGAGGAATGTGGCTATAACACTCATCACTCTCCTAGACGATAAGGATACTTAGAAACAATTTTCAAATAGTTTCTCCCTAAGAATAGATTAGGTAATAAAAATGTTCATTTTACATATAACACATACAGTATTCAAAGCTCATGCAAGCACAGTTTGCAAAAAATCAAAGCAAACTACTATTGATACTCTTTTGGACACTTACATCTCAATAAAAACAGAAAGCATTTTGGGCACAATACATTAAATACAGTTGTTTGTAGCCTATATTTTTATTTATTTAAGTTGCATTTTTTTGTATACTTTCATTTTTGGAATGATAATAAAGTCAAATACTAGTATGTGAGAGAGTCAGTGGTAATGCCAATGCTTTCCTATTGGTCAGTGTTAGAGGAGCTCAGCTTAGTCTGACAGTTAGCCTGCTCCGGACCAGGTTAGTTTCCCAGCATAAGTTGCCGGAGTAAACTTGTTTTATGAAACAGCCCCCAGCTTCCAAAGTGCAAGAGCTGTTTGGGTAAGCCAGCCAGTCCAGCTGCCCCAGATTACCAGGTCATCATGCTGTATGTTGGGTCAGTTAATGCCCTCCTGTGTCAGCTGTCGGTATTCTGCCTGATATAACTGCCTGAGGATTCACGCAAACACATTTGATCCAGTTTAGATTCTTTTGCTACTACACTACAAGCATTACAACTTCATTTAGCAAGTGAACTCAAAAACCTTTAAAAACACATTTTAAAAAACACATGTCTTTCACTATTTCACACAGATGAGTCCTCTGCACAATCTGACTTTGCTGCAGCCTGGAACTGCACATTTTCTGTCTTCACCCAGAATATTCGTATTTCATCTGAAGCTCTTCACTGACTCAGTTTCAGTTTCAGTGAGGGGAAAAACACAACTTAGGTACAGTTGTAATTTGTGTAAAACTGTTTATAAATAATTCTGGCATAATAAATATTGAAATAGTTTAAATGTATACTTATTTCCTGCATTTTGATTATTTATTCCTGTAGTTTT